AAAAAAAAAAAAAAAAAAAAGAGAAAAAGAACTGTACTAAATGGATATGAAACAAGGATTTTTTTCTTTGAATTTCTAACAACTTAGGGGAAAAAAGTTTAGAATTTGACTCCACTTTTCCTGTGATTCATCCTTGTTCATGTCCCATCTGTATCACACAATTCTTATTTATTTATTTATTGAGTTGGAGTCTCACTCTGTCACCCAGACTGGAGTGCAGTGGCCGCTCCCGGCCACCGCAGCCTCGACCCGCTGGGCTCTGGCGATCCTTCCGCCTCAGTCTTCCGAGTAGCCGGAATTACAGGCATGCGCTACTACACCCGGCTGATTTTTTTATTTATTGTAGAGATGAGGTCTCGCTGCCCAGGAGGGTCTCGAACCCTCAGGCTCAGGCAATCCACTCACCTCAGCCTCCCAAAGGCGCGGGATTACAGGCTGAGCCACCGAGTCCGGCCTTATTTCTTTCACTATGAAAAAATATTTTTATTGCCTTTGGATTTTTAATTGATGCTGTCATATGAATAACATTTTTCAAGGTTAAATAAAAACTGATTATAACCCAACTACATGATGATTTCAAGTGAAGTTTCAACTTTTACCCCTAGACATACAATGTCATGATAAAATGTCATAATGCAAATGCAGTCTTTGAAAATATGTAAGATGTAAATATTTGTCCTTCAACAAATTCAAAGTACTATAGGACATAGGACATGTCTTTTAACTATTTAAATAAATGTGTTTTCTAAGTTAACACTTAGAAATACACCAAGGAGTATAGTCTTTTTACTGTTAGTCATAGGTATGGGTGGATATTAAAATTCTGGGTACACTAGGTACACATCAATGGTGATCTGGGTAAAGAAAATGTGGTTCATACATGTCATGGAATGTTATGCAGTCATAGAAAAGAATAAACTCAGGCCCTTTGCAGCAACATGGATGTAGCTGGTGGCCATTATCCTAAATGAATTAACACAGAAACAGAAAAATAAGTACCTCAAATTCTCATTTATAAATGAAAACTAAACATTATGTACGTATGAACAAAAAGTTGGGAACAATAGACACTGAAGTATCCTAACAGGGGGAGGAGCAGAGAGAGGCAAGGTCTGAAAACTATCTGTTGGAGGCATATAGACCAATGGAACAGGATTGAGATTCCAGAAGCAAAACCTCAATTTCTCAGCCAACTCATCTTTGACAAAGCCTCCAACACCAACAACATATTCTGTAAATGGTCCTGGGAAAATTGGCTGACCACATGCAGAAGATTAAAACAAGACCCCTACCTATCGCTATACACAAAAATCAACTCTAAATGGATCAAAGACCTAAATGTAAAACCTCAAACTATAAGAACCTTAGAAAATGCAAGAGATATCCTTATGGAAATTGGAACTGACAACCAATTCCTGATCAAAACCCCAATGTCCATTCCATAAGAGATAAGATAGTCAAGTGGGGCTGCATCAACCTGACAAGCTTCTGCAAAGCCAAAGAAAACATCAAGAGAGTGGGGAGACAGCTTATAGACTGGGAAAAAATATTTGCCAACTGTATGTCTGACAAAGGCCTAACATCTAGGATCTACAAGGAACTCAAATGTGCAGAAAAGAAAAATACCAACAGCCCTGTTACATAGTGGGCAAAAGATGTGAGTGGACAGTTCTCAAAAGGAGACATACAAGTAGTCAGCAGATACATGAAAAAATGCTCAGTCTCACTAGTCATCAAATAAATGCAAATTAAAACTATACTGAGATACCACCTAACTCCAGTCAGTATGGCTATCATCAATAACTCAAAAGACAACAGGTGCTGGAGAGGATGCAGTGAAAAGGGAACACCTCTACACTGTTGGTGGAATTGTAAACTAGTACAGCCTCTGTGGAAAACGTGTGGCAATTCCTAAAAGATCTAAAAATCGACCTTCCACATGACCCTGCAATCCCCCTACTGGGACTTTACCTGGAAGAACTCAAATCACTCTATAAAAAAGATACCTGCACATGTATGTTTATTGCAGCATTGTTCACAGCAGCAAGAACATGGAAACAACCGTGCTGCCCATCAGAAGAGGACTGGATAAAAAAAATGTGATACATATACACAATGAAATATTACACAGTCATGAAGAAGAACAAAATCATGAACTTCACAGCAACCTGCATGAACTTAGAGTCCATAATACTTAATGATCTTTCACAGAAACAAAGAACTGAGTATCACATGTTCTCACTCATAAGCTGACCTTGAACAATTATCATAATACTATACGAAAATGATTGGCAGTAGTGGGAAACTGCTGGGAGGGGCAGGAAAGCAGGATTGGCAGTAGTGGAATCTGTCTGGGGTAGGGAGGGCACATCTCATCAACAAGGGTACCTGCATAATGAACATTTGCATGCCTAACCCTGAATTGTACCTCACATCTTTAAAATAAAAACAAACAAACGAACAAGAAGACTATCTGTTGGGTATGATGTTCACTATTTGGGTGATGGGTTCAGTAGAAGCTCAAACATTACCATTGAGCAAAATATCCATGTAACAAACCTGCACACATACCCCTTAAAATTAAATCTTTAAAAGAGTTCTGGGTACAAATGTGTGTGAGACAGTTCCCTAAATGACTTCCTCCCCATTCAGAGCAAAAAGTGATTGAACCTCTTCAGAATGAGGGTCAACAGATGCATTACTCACTCGCTTGCTGTTCAACATGGAGAAATGTTCCCACTTGACAGTTTTATTGAAAGCTCCACTAAACTCTTCCTTGTTAGTATCTAATAGTGTATGAAATGTGGAGTGGTTTTTAAAAGATAGTATATGATCTAAGTTTTGAAACTTTTTCATTTCTAAATTTTAAAAATAAAACTAATCATCAAAACTCAAAATAACTAACATCACTCTATGAAATAGATACCTGCACACGTATGTTTATCACAGCATTGTTCACAGCAGCAAGAACATGGAACCAACCATGCTGTCCATCAAAAGAGGACTGGATTTAAAAGATGTTGTACATATACACAATGGAATATTATGCAGCCATAAAGAAGGACAAAATCATGAACATCACAGCAACTTCGATGGACTTAGAGTCTATAATACTGAATGATGTATCTCAGAAACAAAGAACTGATTATCACATGTTCTCACTCATAAGCGGAACTTGAACAATTATCATAATACTGTAAGAAAAGGATTGGCAGTAGTAGGAAACTGCTGACTGGGAGTGGTGGGATTGGCAGTAATGGGAATCTGCCAGGGGAAAGGGGCATGCTTCATCAACAAGGGTACCTGCATAATGAACATTTGCATACCTAATCCTGAATTGTATCCCACATATTTAAAATTAAAAAATTTTAAAAAAGAGAAAAAACTAATCATCAAAGAAATGCAAATTAAAACTACACTGAGATACCACCTAACTCCAGTCAGGATGGCCATCAACAATAATTAAAAAAACAACAGATACTGGAGAGGATGCGGGAAAAGGGAACACTTCTATACTGTTGGTGAGAATGTAAACTAGTAAAACCTCTGTGGAAAACAGTGTGGTGATTCCTAAAGATCTAAAAATTGACGTTCCATACGACCCAGAAATCTCCCTTCTGGGGATATACCTGGAGGAACTCAAATCACTCTATGAAAAAGATACCTGCACATGCATTTTTATTGAAGCATTATTCACAATAGCAAAAGCATGGAACTAACTATGCTGTCCATTAAAAGTAGACTGGATTAAAAAAAATGTAGTACATACACACGATGGAATATTACGCAGCCATAACAAAGGACAGAATTATGAACTTTGCAGCAACTTGGATGGACTTAGAGTCTATAATATACAGTGATCCATCACAGAAATAAAAAACTGAGTATAGCATATTCTCACTCAGAAGCAGACCCTGAACAATTCTTCTAATACTATAAGAAAGGGATTGGCATTATGGGGAAACTGCTGGGAGGGAGCACACTTTATCAATAAGGGTACCTGATCTCAAATCAGGTTAAGTGGGGACCAAAGTGAAACCCTGAATTGTACCCCACATCTTTAAAATAAAAATTAATTAAATTTTTAAAAAAGAAAAAAAGTATATTATTGCAGTTTGAGTTTTCAATCACAAAAAGAAATATAGAGCAGTTTTCATATTAATTTTACAAATGAACCTATTATCACTGAACATTTATGATACAATATTCCAAAATCAATAATCAAAATTATTTGTGAATAGTATTTTCTAATATTGGTAAAAGAATTATAAAAACATGGGCTTGGATATCTACCCCTTACTACCAGTGTGCTGTAAAGTAAGCTACTTAATAATTCTAATACTGCAAATAATGCTGCAAGATAGGTTTAATTATATCCGTGTTACTGAAACTGTAAGAAGATAAAAAGATTGACTTTGCCAGCATAACCTGTGATTTTTACCCGAGTAACTTATGATTTTATGCCAAATTCTTAGAATAATCTATAAACCACCCTTAAGTGGTAGCTGTAAAAATTAAGTAAGAACATAGGTGAAAACTGTCGGGCATACCATAGGTACTCTGAAAATGTTTATTGCTTTTTCAAAGTGAAACAAATAATGAAAATAGAGACTATCTGCTCACATACTTAACAAATGGCTTTTTGACTAAACTGTTAGGTTTTTTGTCTTTTTGGCATAATACTGTTTAGCTAGTTGTGGCTTTATCAACTTTTTAAAAACACACGCATTTTTTACTTTGACAATGTGTTTCTTCTTTTTTCACTAATTTCATATTTCCTAAAAATTTTTATTTAATAGCAATTTTTACCTAGAAAAAAATAATTGTCAAATAGTCAATAGATTTTTGAACTATGGCAGGCATACAATAATATTTGAATATATATTTAAGTGTAAAAGCAGAATTACCTTCGGGTCCACATTGAGAATTTTTCTGTCTCTTTTATATTTGAAAAGTAAGCCTCCTGGGTTATCAGCAATCACTTGATAGTTGGGACTTGAATTACAAACAGCCACTTGATTGTCCCAGTTGTAAAAGCTGTAAACATAAGCACTGATTAGGAATTAAGATTTTTATTTGACAAATATATTTTTTAAAACATTTGGAAAAGTTCAGACTCTAGGGACATTCCATACGATCATGTAGAATACACCTGAGATTAAAATCTTGCAGAAGAGATTAGATCGGGTTATTCTCAAATCATTTAGATATATCTTTGTGATGACTTTGCATGATTTTCTGGTTTGGACACTCTAGGACCCAGGGTCTATTTCAGCATTATATTCCCAGGAAGTCAAGAAGAAAATTGATGTAATTTAAGGCTATTTGTTCCAGCACAGACTCGTTAGGGTATTAAGAGACTGTTTACCGGAGGGGAGGTCAGGCAACACCACCTTTTAAATTTCAGAACAATTCCAAATTAATTTGTGTCTCTCAGGCTCTACTTTTCAATAATATGTTTCCCAGGGAGTGAGGAGAAGCTATTTATGTTTGAGTGGTTACCCTGGGCCAGATGTGATGGATCTCCACTATCACCATACTAGCATAAAGCTGCTTTCATTCCTCTGACAAGGCAAGGAGATTCAAGGAGGTTCCCCAGCATGGTGGAGGTCCTGCCGCGAGGATGCCATGGCGCTGACACTCAACCTAGATTTGTGTGTTTCAAAGGACACATGTGCACTTGCTAGTACTCAACATTCTTCTAGTGTTTCACCTTTGCATCTTAGATCTTTTTTCTGCGTCTTGTTTTGTACTTGTTTATCAAAACTGAATATAATGCTGTCATATGAGTTGAAAGAATCTTCAATATACTTTTATGTATCTTATTATCTTATTTTTGCCAACACATTTTTAATAATTATGTTTACTTTCCAAAATATAGCAAAAAGATAGAAAAAGAGATAACGTGTAACAGACTGCCTTGCAGATGTTTGTAACATTAATTTTTTTGTGATTTTTCCGATCCTTTTGATTAAACTCACTCTAAATTCTTTGTTGTTTTTATGTTATTACCTGAAAATATTTTTACCTTCAAATGTCTAATACTCAGAAAGAATTGATCACATATATATTTATGTCACTGAAAGCGGGCCATATTAGTGAGAACTATTTTCTTCCCCTGCTGTCCTTTTCATGGCCAAGACATAAAATAAGACAAAAGAATAAAGTGCTTTCCTACTATCTCTGTCTATTCCATCAGTCCTCCCTAGTAAAGAGGCAATATAGTTCCTCAGATAAACAAGTCTTCACAAGCTCAGCCTCTAACAGCATGATGACAAAGGCTGGGACTGCAGTTTTAGTGATAAATTGAATTCTGTGGTGAAAGCATTAGGAGTTGATTTGATGCCACAACAAGTAGAGTTTTCCAATTTAGTTTAATTCATAATAAAGAAGATAATCTGACCTTCATTTTCTGTTCAGTTAAGAGATTGCTAAATTGGAGTGGGGGACATGGGTGTGATTTTCAACTTTACATATATGTCGTTGAAAATAATTATTTATGAGATATACAGATATAGATAATCCCAGAAAAATGCTTGAGTCACAGCTATGCTTAGAGTGTCATGGCTTATATCAAACATTCCTATCTTGTTGCTCAGATCTCATATTAAAAACATTGTTGAAGACGAGACAGATTTTAAATAAATACTTTCTATATAAAAAATTAAATTTGTATTGCAAATGGTGATTTTGATGAAAAAATTTGGGTTGTTGGTCCACACTTTTGTTCTCTTAAGCAGGAATGAAAAACAGGTTTCATTTCACATGCCAATTCTAATAGCTAATAACTATTATTATTTAATAAAGGTAACTACCAATAATTTAATAGTTACCACGTGCTGGGTGCTACTGTGAGCCTAATGAATCTGTTATCTCATTTAATATTATCACCAGTCCCTGGAGTAGGCAAAACATTATCCATTTTACTCACGCTAAACTGACAGAGATGTGGTGTCCCTTGGATTCCAATATGTGAGCCCGACTCCAGAGACTGGTCTGGATGAACTGCACTCTCTCCAACACACTACTAGGGATTGTCACTGAAGCTCTGTGGCAGATCATGTCAGCTACTGGTCAGAACACACATTTTCAATGTCTCCTTGGGCAGACCTCCAGACTACAATTATGGCCTCCCTTGCAGTGCATCCCAGTAATGGGAATTCAGCCAGTGAATGCCTACCACTTCTAGCCTGGGCCCATTAAAGCTTTCCATACTCTTTTCTCCATCCAGCTAGCTAGAATGGAAATGACAAACTTGAAGGCCATCTGTTGAAGATACTTGGAATTTTGAAAAACATGAGGACAAAAGAGGTGAGCCTGTTGAGGAGATACTGATGAAAGTGACGTCTAGGTTGTTTTGGATCCATAAAATTTTCAATTAAACATTTAACTAGTACCCAGTATATTCTGATTAGGTTCTATTATTTTGTGTCTTTATGAAATAAAGCATGTTCTTGAAATACAGTGGTCTAGTACAGTCTTTTTAAAATTGAGATCCATAGAAAACTTCTGGGAGTGTGAATTTTCTTTGAGTATTTGGATACATTTAAGATATAAGTATAGTCAGCCCTCTGTATTTGTTTATTTTTGCCATAATCTTTGTATCAATAAGTGACATTCAATATATATGAGAGAGGCCCCTAAACAAACCTGGAATTTACTTATACAAACTGTGTATCTATTCCTCCATGTATAAACTCCAGTCACCTTCCAAGTACTCTTTGTTTGATGCAATGCACCTATTGAGATGCTGTTTCCACTGCTCAAAATAGTTTCTGAACTCGTCTATTTTGGTGCCTTTTAGTGTTCCTGTCATTTTCTGTTTTACTTCTTCCACATCAGCAAAACATTTCCCTTTGAGGACTTTTTTCATCCGGAGAAACAAAAAGAAAGTCACTCAGGGTCAGATTAGGAGAATAGGAAGGGAGGAGCATGGGGGTCATGCTATTTTTTTTAGCAGTTTGGTCAAAAACACTCAGCATGGTGTGGGCAGGTGTGCTCATAAATCACTCATTATGAAAAGGGGAAATGCATTGAAGAATCTCCCAAAAAAATTCACTGAAGTCAAACACAGCCTCTCACAGTGTTAGCTAGTTACACTGAGGCTGGTGGGTTCCTAGAACACTTACCTAGTGGGGGAAGCCTGAAGTACATGGGGCCTGCTCTCCAAAAAATAATTCCTGTTTTTTTGAGGGGTTCCCTCTCATACTTTTTGACTAAATGAATGATATATGCCTATTGATACCAGTATTATTTGTGATCATATTATTGTTATTTTCAGTTCTTACAGAATTAAAGTAACAAAGTAGTAAGATAAATTATTTTAAAAGAATATTAAAATAGATGCAGAACATCTATGTGGGACTCAGGAAATCCCTCATGCAATGATTTCAATTTTTCTCTTGTCTAAAGTTCAGAGATTGAACTATATATTGCCAAGACTCTTTATAATGTTATAATAGTCTAATATTACAAAAGTCTCTCTTAATTCAATGAGTTTTACACAATATTTTATTTATGTCTTAATTTCACATCTTAAAAATATTTGTAAAAAATTCAAAAGTACTGTATCTACAATAGAAGAACTTATGAGGCAATTTGGGTGAAATCATTAAGGCCTATAAATAAAAGAATAATTTTCCATTTGCTTCCCATGATAAATCACCTAGGAATTGAACTTTCAGTAGGTGAGTGTAAGAGTCTACTTATACACCTCTACAAGTAAGTTAACTAATAAAATAAAGTATGCTTGAAGCCTGCTCATTATGTGATAAACAGACCTCATGTATGTTCTTGGAAACAATTATCTGTTATTTATTTTACATTGTAACTCTTGATATTAGAGAAGATATTTTGATATTCTGATGACATCACAGGGCAGCAGAGTTTGGGGCCATCAGGGAAAGTAAATTCCAAAGCCATTTTCTCCAAAATACTTTGTCTTAATTTTGTTCAGTATCTTCCTTCAATGTAATGGAAGGGACATACTTATGTAAATGAAAGCATAAAATGGAGAATGTTATAATTTTTAAAAATTACACTTAAAATACATATAATAAAAGCTGAGATCTTAGGGGTGAACATAGAACAGGAATAATGATTTTAATGACTTCAGTTTCCAGTGTGTAAAACAGTAATAAAAAACAAAATCATTACCACATGCACTTGAAATTTGACATTGCAGAGATCACATCACTGAAATTAAAGTGATCATCTAAGAGATTTTTTTATACCATTAATATACCACACAATTTCTCATAATTAAGAAAGAGTTTTTGTTTCAATCTCCATTAATAATAAAAATTTTGGGGGGTTTTTTACTGTTAAGCCAGTAGGCATTTATAGTACCTAAGACTTGCATATCTTTATAAAGATAAACCAAAGCATTTAACTTGTAAAAAATAAAAAAAATATTTATAAATTATTTTTAGGACAAAGAACTATTCTTACTGAGCACTTGTACAACAACAACAACAAAACCTAAAACATCTACAAAGCTAATTTTTTGCAAAATAAAAAAATTGTACTGAAAAGTGAAAAGGGCAGAATGATGTCAGCAAGATGGCAGAACAGGAAAGTCTAGCACTCACACTCTATAGAAACATCAATTTTCACCATTATCCATGAATGGTATGCCTCTGTGGGAATCTGAGAGTGTAGTGGAGAGGTTCTAGCATCCTGCTCAAGCACAAATATTTGAGGACAAACACAATGAAGACAGTTTCGTAGTGATAAAAGCCTACATTCAGAAAAAACTCAAACAATGTAAATTTATGCCCACAAGGAGTTAGAAATAGAATAATATAAGCCCAGAGTTAGCAGAAAGAAGGAATTTCTAGTAATCAGAGCAGAAATAAATGAAGTAGACTAGAGAAACAATAAAAAAGATAAATAAAATGAAAAGTTGCCTTTTAAAAAAGATAACAGACGCTGGAGAGGATGTGGGGGAAAAGGGAACACTTTTACATTGTTGGTGGAAATGTAAACTAGTACAACCTCTATGGAAAACAGTATGGAGACTTCTAAAACATCTGAAA